AGTGTCACCGATGAAGGGAGTTCAACGATTTGGTAAACGAGGAAAACTTTCCCCACGATCTATTAGTCCATTCATGATAGTTGAGCGTATTGGAGCTGTTTCATATCAGCTAGATCTTCCAGCATCGATGTCGAATATACACAATGTCTTCCATGTTTTGATGCTTAAGAAGCATCTACGTGACGAGGAACAACAGCGGGTGATAGACACGCCAGAAGTGGAGATTCTTGATGACCTGACTACTATTAAAATCCCAGTGTGTATTCTTGCTAAAGAGGAAAAGAATCTTAGAAATAAATTGATTTCTCTTGTTAAAGTTTAGTGGAACCGGAAAAGAGCTGAGGAGGCTTCTTGGGAGAGCGAGGAGGATATGTGTTACGACTTCCCACACCTATTTGAACAGGTAATTTGATTGATTGATTATGATCTACTTTTATTTATAATTTGTTATATGGTCATATTTATATTTAACATTAGAACGAGGGTATTAACACTTAACTCCTAATCATTCGGAACATATGGTGTGTATATATATAGGGGGTTCCTTGTTTGGATTTTTCGCCCGACGTACTTGTTCCGCTTAGGTAGTGGTTAAGTGGGAGTATTTGTATTTTAAATTATTAAGTATAAATATCAAGGTGGATTCTCGGGAGTGCGGAGATGTTATGCATCGCGACAACCCACACCTGTTAGACCAGGTGGATTGATTGATTTGATTTGGTATTTATGATTATCTATATATTTATATTTACATTTAAGGCTAGAAAGAGGATATATATTTATGATTATCTATATGTTTAGATTTACATTTAACGTTAGAAAGGGGATATTGACACTTAGCTCCTAATCATTTGGGACACATGGTATATATATGGGGGGTTCCTTGTTTGGATTTTTCGCCTGACGTACTAGTCCCGTTTAGTTAGGGATTGAGTGGAAATATTGGAATTCTAGATTATTAAATGTAGATAATGATATGTGTCATATATAGGTATTAATGGTACGAGATGTGTACGGGAGGGTTTCCTTATCTGGATTATCCACTCTTAGTGCTTTTCTCATATAATTAGTCCCTAAGATACAATTGCCGAATTTCAGGGATGAAATTCTTTTAAAGGGGGAGGGAATATAAAACCCTGTGAATTTGAATATTATGTGATAAATAATAATGAATATATTATATGGTGATAAATAATATATTTTAATGTTTGGGTATGCTAGGAATTGATTTGAGATCAACTTAGTGTATATATGTGAGTGGAGGAGAGAAATATGCACAAAATATGCACGAAAAACAAAAGAAAAACTGTAAAACTTATGCTAAGTCGACTTATAAGTCGACTTGCTGCAAGTCGACTTATCAAATCCGTAAGTCGACTTACTATAAGTTGACTTGTCAGATCCGTAAGTCCACTTATAGACTGATTTCTAGTTTTCTTTTGGGTTTCAGGTTATATCTGTTTTGTTTCGATCCTAGATAAACTCTTTTAAACCTATTTTTGCTGCACTTTCTCATGATAATCTAGTAGCCACCCCTTCTCTAAAACCCTAGTTTAAGTTTTTGAGTTTTTAAAAGAGTTTGGTGAAGGATTCGCCGAGAGGAATGCGAGATATGTGTTTGTAGCAAAGGAAGAGGTCTTGCACACGTGATGGAAGGATCAACAGCGACTTGAGGCAAGATTATCTTCATCCAAACTTATCCTCATAGTTAAATAACTAGTTTCGATGTTGAATACGTGTTTTCATGCTTTAATCTTAACCTGTGGTGTTAAAAGTCCGATTTTTTATATTAAATCTTAAACCAATACTAGATTAGTAACCTTTTCTTGCTATTTATGATAAAATCATGATCATGATTATTAGATTTTCATTTATTTTCGTTTTTAATCTTTTAAACATACTTAACTCATGCAATAACCCTAGTTTGATGTTTAATTATCTTTTCATGCTAATTAATCATGCTTAAACCCTAACTCATGCAATAACCCTAGTTTGATGTTTAATTATCTTTTCATGCTAATTAATCATGCTTAAACCCTAGGTTTGTGATTTAATTATCTTTTCATGCTAATTAATCATGCTTAAACCCTAGGTTTGTGATACCTAAATAACTTAGACAAGTTTAAACGAATTTTATGTCTATGTTCATATTTATAAATGATCATGTTATGGCAATCATGTGATATTCCATATCTTTAATGAAAATATTGTATAATCATGTTATTAACCCTAATTAGTTTTAATTTAAATGCTAAATCATGTAATTTGATATCTGTGAATTAGTTGTACATGTTTATAACTTGTTCCTATGTTCCATGTTGAATAAAATGAGTTTTGATTGAGAAATATCACAGAAAATATCGAGTAGTGATTGATCATACACTCGCTGGATATCATTAATGAGCACAGCTCAGTACTATATAGGATAGTACGTCGATATACCAGATATACATATTTATGCATAAGATGGATATCGTTGATGAGCCCAGTTCAATGCTACATGAGATAGTGTGTCGATATTCCATATGTACAGGCCATTGAGTCGGGTTTGGATGTTTTGTATAGTAGTCCGTCCGCACAAGTAAGCGATGAGGCTGGTAAACCGTCTATTTATGATGATTGTGAGCCATTTACTTGGATACCTATATGGTAGGCCGCTCCGCACTCAGGCTACGTGCTGAGATTGCGATGAGACTAATGAGCCATGTTCACAGTTCGTGATACCTACAGGGTAGTCCGTGACTTTGAGATTGTTGATTTATAGTCTAAGTTTTAGGCGGATGTCAGTTATGAGTTCAACTCATCTTTAAGATATATGACCGAGATACTTTGCTCTTGAAAGTATACAGGATTATATGCTGGTATTTATTTATCTCCCTGGTGATTGAGGAAGATATTATAAATACGACGTAATGATGTCTTTATAATTCTTTATTATTTTCTTTACTTGTTAGTTGGGATCAATAATTAGCGATTCATAATTTGAGACATAAGGTATATACATGAGGGCTTCCTTATTTGGATTATTTCGCTCGACGTACTACGTCTTGTGTTGTGGATTTCTAATTATTGATTTTATTTAGATTGTTTATCACTAGATTGGTATTAATATTTAGGCATCTACAATTTGAGACTTATGATTTATACATGAGGGTTTTCTTGTTTGGATTATTTCGCTCGACGTACTATGTCTCGTGTTGTAGGTTTTTAAATGTTAATTCCACTTAGATACGGGAAAAAATAATCTAGATAAAACTATGCTTAATAGATAGAGCCTTCACTCCACTTAGTAGTCTTTTTCCCTGGGGGCGGATGGAGGTAATCTTGCTGTACCGCTCTGACGCTCTTGTTATTGTTCTTTCTGGTGTTTCTCTTCTTTCAGGTGGTACAGAGGTACACAGAGCCACAGGATAACAAAGTTCTTGCATAGTCACTGTCACATGAGTTTTAGAGACTACACAGTAGATTTTTACTTATTTTATTCAGATATTAGAGTTTCATTCTCATATTGTAAAGGCAGTGTGCCTTAGTATGATTTTAGTTGATTCATGTTGACATTCTCATTGTTTCAGTTATCAGATGGGTTACAGTTGAGACGTGATTCTTTTTATTTATGAGATACATTTTCTATATCATGTCTATTGCTTTCATTTCCATATTTTGCTTGTTTTGTACCTGCACTTTTATTTGATTCCACTAGAGGATATTACTGTGATTGGTAAAATATGTTTATGCACAGTGTGAATGTATGGAAGATTTGACATCTCTAGGTTCACCTTGGACTGCAGCCTTGTGTGAAATCAGGGGCGTCACAGTAGGTAAGTTTGCCGAACCACGTAAATCTCGTGTCTTTACTGTTTTCTTGGTGTTGACTATTGCTTGTAGGTTCCCTAGACAATTCAGTCCTAGAACTGATGAGAGGAAGAGTGTATATCTCATTTTATTGAGATATTTCACTTTTGTTCTTGTTTTCTCTTCACGAAACTGGAACATAGAGGTTGACTTGAGCTTTTGTGAAAATAAAAAGGCAGGGCTTTCTCTCGGGTAATATCGCTTCCGCGGCGTGAGGGCGTGACTCTACGCCCAACAATTTGATAACTTATTTCTAATAACTATGTCTCCATCAATTCTAAATATAAAAAAAAACTGCATAGAAAAATAATCTTAGACTTGATCATCATTTCAGAATTTCAAAATGTTGTCATCAGAAATGCCGCCCTACATCAGTTTTACTTCTCATAAAAGAGTATAGGGAAGTTGCTCAAAAAACAACAGAAAATTAAATTAAATAAAATTTTAAAAAAAGACAGCAGGGGGAACTGCAATCAAATACTGTAGTCGTAGTTCTCTACATTTTAATCCAAAAATTCAGGGTATCATATATATTAACTCCAAATTCTATTTAAATCCATCCTTTGCAGCTACGATTTGTTCATTCTTTTAGTAAAATAAAATTTTCAACCATTTTGTTATCTCTCATTAAATGTTTCCTAATAAAGTTTCTTTTAGTTTCTCGAATTAATTCGCACCAAAACACAAACTTCTTGAGGTCGATTTATCCTTATTTCTTTTTTCTTTCATTCCTTTCTTTAGTTTTTTATCTTTTTCCCATGCCGTATAAAATTTTGCCAAGTACCCAAAAGCTACGCACTGATGTCAAAAGAGAATCTAAAGAAGCTGCCGTACCAAACGACTCCTCTCTCTCTTTCTCTGTACACAATCACGAACCCGCGTCCTTTACGACGTTGTTGACCTGTCCTTCACCAAAAATTTCAACGTCTGACCCGTAAACTTTTGAAAACTAATAAACCGCCTTATATTTTTTTTGGCATTTGTTGTTCTTTTCTATAACGTGTTGTCCACCTCTCAAAAAGACTTACTAATCTCTCTCTATTGCTAGCCGTCCAATATCTTTGTTTTCCTATATATTCATTACAACTGAAATTTCCTTGCAACTGCATGCCCATCGCCGCCCCCCACCCCTTCTCATCATATAAACCCATGATCTCAAAACATACAGCGTTCCCAAACGTAGCCAAAACTCATAACTTGCATCAATAAATAAATATATCCTCAATCCCTTATATCTTTTTATCTCTCTACATAGAAACCTTATATCTATAAGCTCATAACTAACTAATATGATGCTTACACAAACAATGAGAGAAGCTACTGCCGTAAGCACATTCTTCTCCAATTTCATCTCCCATCTTTCCCCCAAGAATCGCCACAAGCCCAAGCCGAACCAATTGCACGTGCCAAACACGCTACCTGCCCTTTCGACGACTACTCCTTCGACGTGTAGCAACAAGCTCAAGAGAATATTCCAGCACTTTGATGAGGATGGCGACGGAAAAATATCACCCACAGAGCTAACAAACTGTATGAGGACCGTCGGTGAGGAGCTAACTATAGAGGATGCAAGAGCAGTGTTTGAGTCTATGGATTCGGATTGCGATGGATTGTTAGGGTTTGAGGATTTCGTGAGGCTGGTCGAGGTTGAAGGGGAGGAGGAGAAGGGAAGAAGTTTGAGGGAGGCGTTTGGCGTTTATGAAATGGAGGGTCAAGATTGCATCACGCCGAAGAGTTTGAGGAAGGCGCTGGAGAGAATATTGGGGCAGCCGAAGAGCGAGGAGGAGTGCGAAGAGATGGTGAGGAGGTTTGATCTTGATGGAGATGGTGTTATTAGCTTTGATGAGTTCAGAGTGATGATGCTCTGAATGAAATATTTGATCAATACTGTAGAATAAAGGAGAGTTTCTTGTGTACAAGTCGCATTGTTTGTCCCTTGGATCAATATTCATCCGGAGGATGCGTGTTTTGGCCTTTCGATCGGCAGAATGTTGATTTAGGAGTGATAATACTTGATTTGTTGATTGCGTATAGAACTGTTTTTCTTTGGATTCATAGAGGGGCAGTTGAGTTTGGAATTGGAACTGGTGTTAATTGTTTGGGTCACATGCATGCATGAACCTTTCTGTCTCTCCTGGATCTCATTATCGGTATGTCATATATATATGTAACTAAGTAGCATCGTATCTTCGTATATTGTATTTTTTACGCTGAAAAAATAAATAACCATCAAGAAGATAATCCATCCATACCCATCAACGAACTAGGGGGGGTAGTACTTAGCGTGATTAATTGGTTTGGTAGAGTTTGCAAATATGTGATCGCGCGTGTTTGCTTACACGGAAATAGCTAGGGGGTTTGACGTGATAGATTCCAGACAACGGAACTTGAATAATGAAGACGACGACTAGAATGATCGAACCTGTTATTGAGGTAGGGAACGAGATATGAAGACGATGACTATAGGATTCAGCACGGCTCACCTTTAGGTCCTGGGGTGTTTTGGTTATATGACAAACGCTCATGAACGAACACATCTGAGAATTAGGACAGGGATTCGGATCCTCTCCACTACAAAAAAAATAGTGGAGGGACCACTACATAATCACAGCCATTGATTATCTAGTTAATGGTTATGATTTTTTCTTTTAGTGCAAATTAGGAATGAGTGCAATACACGGGGGTATGGTAAGTGTTAGATTTAGATTGTATCATAACCGCCTACTAAATAATCAATGCTTGAGATTAAAAGTAGCTCCACTACTTTTTTGTAGTGGAGAGGATCCAAATCCTTAGGATAGGGACTCAGCCAAAGCGCCTTGGTGCCCAGGATTATAGACGAAAGAAATAATCTTCGGCGGCTAAACCTTAATTTTGAGTGTAAGAGTGAGCATGTTTGTGCATATACATAGCTAGATTGTTGTTCCCTTTTTGTTAGACTCCAGAAACCTCTCTAGAGAGAGTATATGCCTTTTTTTGGCAGGAAATGGGGGAGATCTGTCCTCTATTTTGAAGTGTGCTCTAGATGGGATGCATGTATTGTACTCTCCTTCTCATCATTGTGAGTGGCATCATACAGTGGAGCCACAGGTTTTAGTTAGATAGATCGTTGGTAGATTTGTTGTGACTTGTTAATTTGGACTATGAACGCTTGAATCAAATCGGTGAGAGATCTGCTGGGAAATCTTGTTTGGACTGTTGTGTCAAGTTCATATGACTAGATTTCTAACTAGATATCAGTTGTGATCTGAAGGTTCAGATAAAAAACATAAAACTCAAAATCTACATGATACGGAAGGTGTAACATGGACTTAACATGGCATCATCGATCATGTGTGCTTCCCAACTTTGTGGTTTGTTATTTCATATACAAACCATGACTTAATTAAACATATCCAACCATAAATCGACTTTTCCTCGTCAGACTTTAGACTAAATCTTCACTTCTTTATTAAATCAAAAAAAAAACCGGCACTAGATGTGAGACTTTCAACAAATAATTAGCCTCCCTTCCCACAATGTCAACTTCTAAGGTGCTTATTTATCCACATGATTACGTGGAAATGAGCGAAAAACTAAGAAAACATCACCTTATGAGGCATGACCTCATGGGGGTATGACCTCATTGTTTATTATAGTTGAATCTTCAAGGAAACTTCCTACAAAATTCTGAAGTTCACAAGCGGCAGCAAAGAAAACGACGCAAAATTGGGGTTGACCCATTAACCTTCAAGAATAAAAGATTCAATTGATCAGTAACAAGTACTTTTTATCTTAAAAAACAGTTAATGAGCAGTTAATTCAGTTAACCATTAATAATTTCAACTCCATAGAAATAATAGCAGGTCAACAAGAAATCACACAAATTAATTATGTTAACAATCATGTTGTAAATATTACTCAAATAAATTACAGGTAGGACAAAAATTTTAATTCATCCTTAAAGTATTGGCGAACTCTCAATTACTTTTCTTAGCTATTTTTCCCCTCAAACTATGTTTGCTGTTTTAATATAGTTCTTTTGTGAAGCAACAATCAAATATTTTATAGATCAATGATATTACAATATTTTTTTTAATTTTTTTTATTTTGTATTTCATGGATTCAGGGCCGGCCCTGAGATTCTTAATTTTTCACGGGGCCCTAATCAAGCTTTCAAATGAGGGGCCTTTATATACAATATTCCATACACAAAATTTTTTATAAGATAGCAAAATATTTTTTATTAAAATGAGACAATAAGCACATAATCGTATTAATATTAAAATCAAAAAACTTCTTGATGCTTTATAAATAACACAATTCATATTACATTAAATGGGATCGCCTTGCATTTTGAGCTGCAAAATTATCAATTAAAATGTTCCAATCAAGCTTCTCCAATAAATTTTTTTCAATAGATATCATAGCCAATCCATTCAATCTCTCTTGTGACATTGTTGACCGTAGATAAGATTTGATGAGCTTCAACTTTGAAAAGCTTCTCTCGGCCGATGCAACTGTAACTGGTATTGTCAATAATACTCTATAAGCAATCCAAGCATTTGGAAAACAACAATTTAGCCTTTCCATAAAATTCAATACTTCAATTGCTTTTTTTGTTCCTCTTGGTAATGCTTCTCTTAAGATTTGGAGTTCTGAAAATAATTCTGTCCCGTTAATATCAAAATTTTTGTCATGCTTTAGGAGATCTTCAAGGTTAAGACATGAACACTTCAAACTATCATTATCTGCAGACTTCAACCTCTCCAAATTAAACAAGAAACCAAAAGATTCATCATACTTTTGAAACTGTTCAAATCTACTCTTGAGTGAAGAAAGAGCTTGATCAACGATATATATGAAGTAATTGACTCTAAAGGATTCTTCAGCTGTCATTGCCATCTCTTTACTAGCATTTTCATCAAAATGTTTCTTTCTACGAATGATGCGACGTTCACAAAAAATGGGTTCAACTTTCATTCTAACTGCAATTTCTTTAGCCTCAACCATAGCTGCTTCAAATCCATTTTCTCTGTAGCTTTCAAAAAAAGAAATGAGCCCTCTTAAAAGGTCTATAGCAACATCAATCTGCATATCCTCTGATTGCATGATTTTACTTATTTTGTTAATAGCATTCAAAATATCAAACCAAATAACCATACCAAGTAAGAACTCAAAATTCTCAATTTCATATGCTGCTAAGCACTCAACATCACTTTTTGTCTTGGGATCTTCACTAGAACTTGCTAAGTAAATCAAAGCATCTCTTATATCTGGAGCTTGGAATCTTATTGCTTTAACACTTTCAACTTGACCTTCCCAACGAGTTTGTGATGGCGGCTTAAGTGTGAAACCTTTAACATTATCTGTAAGAACTTTCCACCGCTTTGTAGAAGATGCAAACAATGAATATATGCGCTGCACCACTCCAAAAAAAGATAAAGCTTGCGAACAAGAGTTTGCCATATCACAAAGTGCAAGGTTAAGACTATGACAACCACAAGGTGTGTAGAATGCTCTAGGATTTATCTCTAATAATCTTCTTTGTACACCTTTATGTTTTCCTTTCATATTAGAACCATTATCATACCCTTGTCCTCTTACATCACCAATATCAAGTTTAAGCTCTTGCAAAATATTTACAAGTTCTTCAAAAAGTCCTCGTCCTGATGTATCATCCACCTTTAAAAATCCTAAAAAGAACTCCTCCATCTTTATTGGGCTTGTTGAAATATTCACGCATCTTAATATAAGTGACATTTGCTCTTCATGGCTTGCATCCGGAGTACAATCAAGAATAACAGAAAAGTACTTTGCTTCTTTAATCTTTTGGATGATTAAACTTTTGATCTCATCTGCTATTCGAAGAATAAATTCATTTTGAATTTTGTGACTAAGATAATGATAATGAATTTCTTTCTCCTGAACTCGACGAACATGCTCTTTCATTATTGGATCAAATTCGGCAATCATTTCTATTATACTTAAAAAATTTCCATTATTTTCTTCATAAAGCTTCTCATTATCTCCACGAAATGCCAAACTATTTTTAGCAAGTGTTTTCACAACAGCAACTACTCTCAATAGTACTTTTCTCCAATGTTCTCGTTCTTTGTTGATTTGTTCTTCAACACTTTTATCGATTGTCGCATTTTGTCGTAATCTGATCTCTAATTCAATCCAACTCTTCATGTTAACAATGTGTTCACTACTTGTTTCATGACTTTTAAGTCTGGCACTGAGATTTCTCCAGTCTCTAACTCCATCATTTGCCAATTGAATTTTGTTTGCATCATTTTTGAACAACTTACAACAAAAACAAAAAACCTTGTCCAAAGAATTTGAATAGATTAGCCATTTTCTATCATGATGTTCACCATTGGATAAGTTACGAATGTAATGTGTTGAGGAGAAATGTCTGCCTTCTGAATCTTTTGGAAAATCAAGATTATCATTTCTTTTGAGACCTCTTTCAACCAGTAAGTCTCTTAATCTTTGATCAATATTTTTCCAATTTCCTGGGTCATTTATGTTTGAAGGCCTTCTTTCAAGGTTTTCTTCTTGTACCAAATCTTCATGTTCATTTACATTTTCTTCATGTTCATTTACATTGCTATTCTCATTCAAATTTCTATTCTCATTAGAATCTTCATGTTCTTCACCTTCTTCAATGGAATTTCTATTCTCATTCAAATTTTCATTAACCAAATCCTCGCTTTCTTGATTTTCAGGTTGCTCATTTTCAACATTCACCGAATCTTGAAAACCCGATTGATTTAGGCTTCTATATCTTAATTCTTAACCCTTGCTTCCCTAGCGAACCAACCCAGCAACCCTTATGCACAAAAAATGCATACGAAAATGATTATAACAACAAGAGCATGATGGTAACAATTTAGTACGAATTTCTCCAAGCTTTAATTATAACTACAAAACATGATTAAGTTAACTATATATAGTGGAAAATTAACCCAAAAAAACAAAGAGGCAAAACTGTGAGGACAAGAAAAAAGCAAAAATTTTGAAAATTTTACCTAAAAAAGAAGAGGAGGAGGTCGCTGCGGGTGGTCAGTGGTGGCCGGATTGGCTGTGGGGGGCCGGCGGTGCTCGAGAGAGTCGGAGAAGGCTGTGGGGGACCGCTTAGCTGTGGGCGGGGGGCCGACGGTGCTCGAGAGAGTCGGAGAGAGATTAGGGTTTGGGCGAGATCAAGTGGCGGAGAGGGCACTTTTAGATTTGGACTTTGGCAGGTTAGCGGGTCGGGTTTCGGTTTGCGGGTCGGGTTTCGTTTAAAGACCCTTTTTTTATATTGGATGCAAATTGGGTTTGGGCTGGGCCCTTTTTTGTAAAAAAAAGCCTAACATTTGCCTTCCAAATGCACGAGACGCTGAAACATGAGCAGAAGAAATGAGAGTGGGCTGGATACAGACGGGTTGAAGATTGTATTGTATTTATGCTATTAGAACCCTCCTCTAATTTTGCACAAAAGTTCCTTTACTTTTATATATATATATATATCTATCAAAAAATAAAATGGGGGCCCTTGTTTTTTGGGGGCCCTAGGCGACGGCTTCCCCCGCCTATGCCCAGGGCCGGCATGGATTTTTATCACTCAATCCTTTTTTCTTTTGAAACTCAAAAAATATTATTAACTACTTTCTCTCAGAACTTTTTTACCCTTTAACTCTTTTTGGGAATTGAAAAGGCATTTTTTTAAATGCAAAAAAAAAAGAAGAAATGCAAAAAAACGCTATCATGTGACTAATCTGTTAAATATTTGACTGCAAGCTCATAAGATGATCATATTGAATCACATACACATTAAATTTCTTACGACTCGGTGTTCTCTGATCATCCAAGCTTCTCAAAGCCCTTAGTATTGATTTTCAATAATAAACCCAAGGCACATAAAAGTCCTTGCGACTTGGTCTATATCAATTCGTTAGCACTCAAGGTCCTTCATATCAATTTTCAAAAGTAAACACAAGGCACATAAAATTCCTCTAGAATCGGTCTTCATCAACTCGTTTAAGACACTCACAGTCATTGGTATCGGTTGTCAAGTGTAAAACCGAGGCACAGTGAACTCTCTGCTACCCGATCCACACCAACTCATCCAAAATAGAAACACTTATGATTCGGTCTTTGACGACTCATCTAAAAGCATCTCAAAATCAATACATCCCAGGCATGACATGATAAGTAACACATTAAAGATTTTGAAAATTTTTGAGTCACATAAAAATAGTCTTTCATTTATTTGCAAGAATTTACAATACTTTTTACAAATAACTCAATAAAAATGACTAAATGTAAAAAAATATCTGAAGGACCCAGAACTAAACACGGAGCAGGGGTAGGAGTAGAACTCGAAGTAGAAGTAAGAACAGCACCCAGAGCAGAAGAAGGACCAAGTCTCGGACCAAGAGTAGCAGATGATGTCTTTGGTCGGTAGGATGAAGAAGACGAGCTAACTTCCTCATTAGAGCCCTCAAACACGTCTTCATCTGATCCGCCGCCTACCTCCTTGTCTTCCTCTACTATTCCCAGACCATTATCCACCTTGAACGTCAAGGAAAACACTCACCCTAGTGTAGACATCAAAAATTACCTATAGCTTCCCGTTGTTCGCGGGAAAAATTATTTTTATTGATGTCATTGTTTTCTTGAGCAACAGTTTATCGGTTACAAAAGATCCGGTCTTTTTATAAGATCCTGTTACAACAAAATAAAAAAAAAATCTTAAAAGATTACAACTTTCCTTTTCAGGAACAAATCACAAGATCCTGTTTTGCGGTCTCTTGCTTGTGTAGGTTCTTTGCCTGCGCCGGGGTTAATCCGTGGACCACCGCGCGATCTTGATCCGATCGGATCTATACGGTATGACGGGTATTATTTCATGAAGGAAATAACAGCCGAGGGGATTATTTCACCAAGGAAATAATAGCTCTAAGTAATCGAAATCGACCAAGCGAAATCGATACTCTTCTCGGGATCAAAAAACCAAGTTTTGATCCAAAGGATGACCGTGTGGATCTCAGATCTGATCTCTCTCGAACTCCTACCTTATTTGGCGTGGATGATCGCCAAGAACCAGATCTAAAAAGTCCGAGTCTACAAAGCTCCAAAACTCCAAAGTTTAGCTCTTAATCCATCAGAGTTTTCACCTCAAAAGTTCAACAAAAACTCCAACCTCTTAAACAATGAGCCTTCAAGTCTATTTATAGGCACCTCAAACCAGATCTGGGCTCAGATCTGAGCCAAGATCTGGGCCACCTAGGTGGCTCGGCTTAAGCCGAGCCAGGTGGCTCGGCTTTGGCTGATCCACCTAGGAGTGGCTCGGCTTTGGCTGACCCCTTTAGGTGTTTGCTTCTTCTCCCGTTTTCCGGTTTCACGGTTTATCCGAACTTCATTGTTGATCTGGACTCTGATTTGGCAGTCCGGATCCTGATTTGGTAGTAAATCCGCTTTGGTGTTCGAGTTCGAGTCTGCTCCCGATCTTGTTTGATGTGGTGGACTCTACGGTTGGATGACTTGTTGATTCATCGACCCGTTAGCTTGATTGGGCACGCGATTGGATGTATTTCGTTGTTTGCGTGCGGTTTGTTAACCTCGTCGCCTTGTTAATCCGCTTCGTCGCGTGTCACTTGGCTTCGGGGTTGTGGTCTAACGATCATGCTTGGATATATCGCCCGATGGTTCGTTGGTTTGTCGAATCACCGTGCCGAGCTATGTTAAGGGACCTATAAGCAGTTTTATACGCCTACAGATACCCTCTCCAAAGTATTTCAGCATCATTCTTTTATAGAAGAGTCTGGAATACTTTGGATATGATTGTCCCAACCTTCAATTGGTGTAACGGGACCTTGGAATGGCTTCTATTCTTGATTCTTTTAATCCTCCAAACTATCCGGTTCTTTGTCGAATGTCTGCAAGGGTTCCGGTGCTGCATTTATTGTCTGACCGTTGTCAGAATTTTGAACTTGAAGTCAATTCCTGATTTTCTGATCTTTAGCTCGTGTTTGCTGTTTCAACATAGAACCGACCATCGATTGTTGGCGTCGAGTCTTTATTTGTAACGCGTTGTCCGGCGTTTGACACAGTTTATACTCGTACGTCTGCTGGAGTCTTGAGAAGCAGTTTATACTCTTATACCTTTCGGAGTGTTGTTGAGTTATCCTTAAGAGTATTTTTAGAAAAAATACTCTCCAGAAACTTCTCAAAAAAATAAGGAATAGTTTATACTCGTATACCTTATTGGAGTACTTTTCATGTCCGAATGAGCTGAACCGGCCTGGTAATGACCCAAAAAAAGGCAGTAATTAGGCTCAAAAAATCTTCCGACCCTTCCGAATGTGTGGGAGAGGAATGAATAAATAAGGGACTGAACCATCGGTCGATTTGAAGTCGTTTCGATACTCGGTTCAGCTCCAATTTGAATTTTGGCTCTAATCTGGTTCAAACTTGTTCAGAACTGGTTCAACCTGGTTCAAGACTGGTTCAACCTGGTTCAAGACTGGTTCAGGACTGGTTCAAGACTGGTTTAGCCTGGTTTAGACTAATTCATCCTGGTTTGGTCTGGTTTGGTGGACGGTCTCTGGGCATGGCTGTGGACCGTAACGGGCTGTACTGGTGCTAAGTTAAGTCTCCCGAGTGCTGAGCGTCAGTTAAAGCTCACATTCTTAAGCTGCAGGTGGTTGTTAGCAGCTAACAAACTCGTCCCCATGAAGCCGATTGCAGAGTTAGTAGCTGAGGAGGTTTCTCAGGCTGATTCTCGTGTGATTCGGGAAGATGCTCGGTCACAGAAGACGCGGAGCAAGACTCGTCGAATTGACGAAGAAGGAAAAAAAGACCTTCAATTCTACTGAAGAGGTCTCGGGCGAAGATCCTGAAGATTGCGTGGAATATTTCGAGCGAGGTTAATCACCTATCTTTTCCCTCTGTCTTTCAGAGTTATTAATCTTGACAACTGTTTGATGTTTCATGGACAGTGGCTGACAAGGAAGAAGAATTCCGTCCTTTTACTCAGGCGAGACCTTCGATTGTTGTCCCAGCTGCTAGGCGGAAGAGACTAGCCTACAAGCCGCGTGCAGATCTGCGAGCATCTGAGATGAATTTGGCTGGTGATGATCCCGCTAGCGACGGAGGTAACATCTACCCTATAGACCATCCTCTTGATCATTCAGAACTTCGGGCTCATGCTTTTCTATATAGGAGAGCATGGGGAAGGCGAGATGAGTCTCGATCCTGCTCCTCGTGATTTTGTATTTTCTGGTGAGCCTGACTTACCACACCAGGTAGAAAAGCCTGCAGAAGTTGCTGACGTTAGGGAGACTATCAATATAGGACCCGATTCAGCGAATCTAGGTACATCTACCATTGACAATATATCCTTTAGATGGCAAACAAAGGAGTTGAACTATTCAGAATTCGTGCCTCTCTTAATTGTCTCTATGCTTCTTGCTCTTTTAGATAAATTGCAAGGGGCAAACGTGGACCTTGGGAGTAGAGATGCTAACACATCCGTAGGAGGTAACTCATTTCCATTGGTCGTAGTCTCTTTATTCTTCTTTCGCATTTATATATTCTTGTGTCAGATTTTTTGACTGATGATTTCGACGAGGAAGGTTTGATTGTGGACACTCCTATGCTCCACTTCATGTATGGCTCTCCTCAGATTGATGACCAATTGCCTGAAGATATGTTTCCTGAGTCTACACTCCCCAAGAATCCCGAGGATGGTCCTTTTGAAGGTACGTGCCTCTTCTCAGGTTAATTATAGGACTAGCCATTTTTTGACTAATGCAGCTATAATGTGATGAATCTGATAATTCCATTTTGTGTTTGACAGAAGCTTTTGTCGAGACTGATCCTGTTGAATCGGCTGTGAGACCAACTACATCAGCTGATACATCAACAGCGGTTACACCTCCACTACCCCAAGTGACTCAAGGGGAAGGAGGTATAAATTAAGCAACTGAGAAATGTCATTTATTTCCTCATCAAGGCTTTTGACGGATTTCCCCCTTTTTGTGTAGGGCTTTCTTCTCGGCTTCATGTCCTCGTGAAGGAGTTGTTATCAGACAACGATCCTGAGAAGATCGTCATCTGTATAGAAGTCCGTTCCTTCTTCTCCTTCGTGAATACTATGATTGGCAAACTCTTCCACGGCGGACTTTTCCTTCACCAATTTAAGCCTTTCCTTGATCCCAGAATAAATTCAATAAGGGATGCAGGATATCCGGATCTGGCGAAGGCTATAATTGATGACCTTGATTGCCTGGAGCACGAGCTTCAGATGTTACGTGAGCTCCGGGATGTAGGTGCCTCTTCATTCATTGCTGCCAATTTGGATACTCGCTTACAGACATGGCGCGATACTCGAGCTTTTGCTGAGTTCGAGATTCAGGTACAACGGGATCGGTAGACCGAGTTGAGGCCAACCTTGCTGTTAGATCATCTTCACTTGACGATCTTGACCTTTCTATTGCCTCTTGCGAGACTAAGATAGAACAGTTCCGAAGAGGACTTCGTGAAGAAGAGGAGTCTTTGGGTATCCTTCAAATGACGAAGGTACAGGATCATCAAGCCCACACTGCCTTATCTGAGGAGTTGAAATCTTTGAAGCAGAAGCTGGTCGAGACGGAGGAGGTTGCTGTGAAGACTTTAGCCACCACTGAAGAGTCCATCAGAGCTGAATTGCAGAATGAGCTTAGGCAAGCTTATGATGAGAAGCTGTCTAAGTTTAGTCAGTAGATTTTTAGCCATGTGCTTGATGTATGATTTCATTTACTGAATATTTTGACTTTTGATCCTCATAGTGGAAATGGTTTTATCTTTATCTTTATTGTGATTTCTCATTCTGTTTGGAATGATTGACCATAATACTCACAGGATTTTTAGCAAACCCTCAGCCCTCAACGGGTTTGATAAGTCTTTACCGACTACCGTTTGAATCGAGCTAGCATGCGGATTGTCTAAATCCGTTCCGCATGTAACGTTGTGCTAAGAGAGTGAATTCTCTGAGACTTTGTGCTATGATGTCGAATACATAGGCTTTACCATTTGTTACGGGAATAGGCTACCCGGCAACACGTGTTAGGCGTTGACTTTAGGATTTTTGGCTAACCCCCAGCCTTCAACGGATCTGATTAGCCTTTACCGACTACCGTTTGAGTCGGGCTAGCATGCGGATTGTCTAAATCCGTTCCGCATGTAACGTTGTGCTAAAGGAATGAAGACTTCGTGCTATGATGTCGAATACATAGACTTCGCCATTGTTACGGGAATAGGCTACCCGGCGACACGTGTTAGGTGTTGACTTTAGGATTTTTGGCTAACCCCCAGCCTTCAACGGGTTTGATTAGCCTTTACCGACTACCGTTTGAGTCGGGCTAGCATGCGGATTATCGGAATCCGTTCCGCATGTAACGTTGTGCTAAGGGAATGAACTCTCTGAGACTCGCCGCTACGACTTCGAATACGTAGACTTCGCCATTGTTACGGGAATAGGCTACCCGGCAACGTGTATTAGACGCTGACTTATCCCTACTTAGGCTTCA